GTCAAAACATTTTACCTTTGAAAGTTCGTCAATGTCAAATGAGCCCTTTAGGTACTCCTCCCAGGAGACCAGTCCATTGTCGTCCTCGTCATCCTCCTCCAGTCGATCTTCGCCCTCCTCCACGGCCAAGTTCTTGAACGACTTTAGCACCCAGTTGGAGAGCTCCTCCTTGTCGACGAATCCATCGCCGTTGGCATCCATGCCGCCCTTCTCCACGAGCGCCTTCAGTCGTCGCTTTGACTCCTCCGCCGACAGGCCGTCAAACTCGGCGGCCTTCTGTCGACTACCCAGAATGGCCTCGTGATCCAGTTCGTGATCATCATCACCCTGGTGCTCGCTGACATGCTGCAGATGGGCATCGAATGCGTCATCAATTCGCTCCTTGTTGTTGTGATGGTCGTGGGCAGACCGAGTGTGCAAATTCGGCGGCGTACACTGGACAACGACGGTCATCAGGCTGAGGAGTAGCCCCAGCTGCAAGACCTTCAGCAGCATCTTCAGATGATGACGATGGAGATGCCAAAGGACGGGAAGACCTACGAGCACAACAGACGCACACACAGATTCTCAAGTGATGCCACAGAATGTTCTTGTCACGGTCGCAAATAGTGTCTGCGCCTTGCTCTCTTTGCCTAACGAAATAAACACAGTGCCTAAACAGACGCACTGAACGCCCTCTTGCCTGCAGTGAGCGCGCTAGTTTTTTTTCGGTTTAGTTCAGTTCGCGATTTGAATAACCTACGGTGAAGGATAATGACAAACACCCTCTCAAACTGGTGTGAAATAAAACAGATGGATTTTACTGGTAAAAAGCAGCTTCTCGCTTTGAAGAAAAAAAAGTTGAAAATGTTAAACAATAATTTCAAACAACGTGTGATTCAATGACATGAAGTGACTGCTATCTTACAAAAGTTTACACGGGTTAATTTTTGAATAGAAAAAACACGTACCTCTTCTCCCGTCTACAGTTTGCGAAACTCTTCGAAATCACAGNTTGCTATCTTACAAAAGTTTACACGGGTTAATTGTCGAATAGAAAAATCACGTACCTCTTCTCCCGTCTACAGTTTGCGAAACTCTTCGAAATCACAGATACTGGCAATGAGCTCAAGAATGTCGTCGTCCTCTTCGGCAGCCTTTTCAGTCATTCTAGCCTTGTTTGCCTTCTTCGAAGTCCCCTGACAATAGGCAATCTCGTCATCCTCAGCAAACGGGTCAGGCTCCTCGCAAGAGTCATAGTCGGTCATTGAATCGAATCGAGGTCGTTTCATGAAGCAGCTGTACCCGGCGCCATCCTCATCGCAGTCCATTGGCGTTGTCTGGTTGCTCCCCTCCTTAGAGTAAGCATCTTCCTCCTCGACAATGGGCACCTCTGCGCCGGAGGCATTGATCAGCTTCCTTCTATCAATGGCATTGACAACTGAATGAAGTGCCATCATTTTGTTGCACTTTGAGCTCTCTCCGAAGATCTCCTCCGACCAGTTTTCAGTAGTCTGCTCCACTTTTTCAATAACCTCCTTGCTGCTAGCATAGAGCTTGCCGAGTTTCGCGTGGACCGCCTCGTGAATTGCCTTTAGCGTCAGCACAATCTTGTCCTTATGGCCGTGAGTGACGGCAAACTGTAAATGAAGCGCATTGTGATTAATTCTGAACCATTTTTTCACCCCAACCTCAACCACTACTTACCGCACTCATCGCGTCCAGCAGATACGAGTGCATCTGCTTGTACCGGTAGAAGATGATGTAGTCCAGCGGCTGCTGACCTTCTTGTGCTCTTCGTCGTTGCCATTTGATTATCACCAAGTTAGAGTAGGTCAAAAAGAGCAGCAAGATGGAAATCTTTGGGTTGTAATGTCCCAGCACCTGACGGTACTGGTAAATGAGCTCCCCAAGTGGCACCTGCACCTTTATGGCATACTCCTCTTCTTGTAGGTTACCGTATTGCGCATTCATTGAGTCGACAAGGTCGAGACAGCTCTCATAGTAATTGTCCATTGTCATCTGATGTCGGTTACCTTGGGGAGTTCCAGTCAGCTTTTGTGAACTCTTTTTTCCCAAGGCGTAATCGTCGTCCATTGCAAAGTCGTCTATTTCATAGTCTTTAGACTGAGCTTCATCACTGTACTTGGAGCATAACTGACAGAAGCAGTTAATCAGTCGCAACTTTCCGTAGAGAAAAATGGTGCTGAAATCCATACGAAAGAAGAGATCATGTTGAAAGTCAAATGTCAAGTTGCTAAACACCATAGGCTTTTTCAGCGGAAGATAGGGCAGCAAGGAGGCGGATGTCTCTGAGCTAGCCAGTCGTGGATCAAATAAAGTATCATCGTTGGAGTCGTAGGTAAAGGGCATGTTAAACCCCTTACAAGCCTTCACTTTGATTCGGTTTGAAGGCAAGTAGAACAGCTTCATGTTGGGGCCATCGAAAACGGCGGATGTGGTTGGGACGCACGAGTGACTAATGAGAGTCATCGGAAGGTAGACGGCACGAGCAATTGAGTAGCGACAGATGAAATCGGGAATTGCAATTGAGAAGCGAAGTGTCTGAAAGAAATCATATCCTAGGTTAATCATTAGAGAATAACAACTAATGCAAGGAACATACCACATAGAAGGCTTTCACAATCTCCTCCCACTCAAAGTCGCCATAGTGTTCTTTGACTTGATCATTATCGAGAATCTCCCGCAGTTGAATCACCCAAAAGCCAAACTTCCCATCTAATGGCTTGCGTTCAAGTTGAAGCCGTTCGCCAAAAAGGGTGTCAATGCGAAAGATTCGAAAGTAAAACTTCAGCGACTCTGCCAAAGATTCAAGTCCCTCCATGTGCTGTCCTTCATCTTCCTCTTCATCAAAAGCCTCAGCTGCGCTTTCACGAAGAATTGCCGCTTTTTCGCTGTCTATTTTAAAGGTTTCAAAGCAATTAGAAAGATACTGTGCTCGATTGTCCTTTGACAGCAATAGCATCTTCTCCCAAACATCTTTCTTTTTAATTTGCGAGAGAAAGTAACTGTAAAAGCCTTCGTTTGTGTTGCCACTTGCCGACAAAGATGTGTTACCAACGTCCTGATTATCTTGACTTGATTTGAACGACGGCGGATCATCGGCGGAAGAGTCAAATGAGTCATTTGTTGGCGAAAGCGAATCAACAACAGTATTTACTGTATTATTGAGTACAGTCTTCACCTCGTTCTCCAGGGCAAGCTCCATAAAGAGCTCATCACTTGGTATGTCCAGACCAAGCTGTTCGTCATACCCTTTCCGTTCATCTTCATCCAAATCATCGTAACCTTCGAGGTAGTCATTTATCAAGTCTGCATGTTCCATTTCAACTAGTTTTTCGCTAAGCTCAATGGGGCAATTGATGTCGTCCCACTCGACTGTTCGCTTTTGATTGTCAATAGTAAAAGATTCAGATGGAAACAAGTAGTCATTGGTTGCATCATCATCATTGACCTGTTGCTTGATTGGTTTGGTGCTCTTGATGACGCGGAAAAACAGTCGACTAAAGTCGATAATATCATCGTTGGAAAGGAAAAACTCTGATATCTTCCCTTTAAGAGCATTGGTACCGAAACTATTCAAAATCTTCGAATGCAACTGAGCCCGACACTCCGGTTCATGATGATGTAAGTCTTTTGCACGGCACTTCTCCGAGCAGTACCATTGATTCTGGCAATTCATACATGGCAGCGGGTCAGTTCTGTGAAGGAAAATGTTAGTAAAGTGGCAAAGATAAATTGTTATAGAGCATTTGAAGATTACATTGACGCAAAGCAACATTCGCAGCAGCTTTCTTTGTAAGTAGAGGCGAGAACACTGGCAAGTGGTGAACTTTCGAAAACGGGTAGGCCAATGGGGACCTTCATCGGCCCAAAGTAGTTGGTTCTGAAGTCCATCTCACGGCATTTCACTGATAAGGCTTTGACAGTGAGTAAAAGAGAAGGAGAGTTCAAACCGCCAACGAAACGGTTTGCAGGAGAATGAACGCGATCCCTCGCCGCTTTGTTTACAAAATTCGCGCAAATCACAGATTGCGCAAACTCGAAATGGCAGAGCCCGCTCATAAAGATCGTGATTGCGAAGCACTCGTTGAATTCAAAATTCAAAAGGTGGATAATAAAGCCGTCGTGATCATTTTATTATTCACATGGTGCAAGCTTTACGAACAAATGCTTTACTCGGCTTATGGGTGTGCTTTGTTGACTTTGATTTTTTACCCTTCAAGCTCTTCTTGCTCTTCTCATCGCTGTAGATGTCAACCAGGCGAACGATCGTAACTTTATGAGATGATGACTTTTTATGGTGTGACGTCTTTTTGCTGGCAGACGTCTTTCGACTGCGCTTTGATGAGCTGCTTCGCTTAGCTCCTGCGGCGGCCTCTATTTCATGTTTAGAGCAAGGCTTGAAGAAGGCAAGGCAGATGAGGAGACAAAAAGCAGCCAAAAGGATGAGCATAATACTCAGCACCAAAATCCATGGAATGGGAGATTCACTTGGAGTCAATAAAGTCAGTTGTGCAGAAGTTTTGAGGCAATAACTTTTAACTTACCCTTCAGATGGAGGTTGATCAGGTTGTTCAGTCATTTTCAGTGGTTTTGTGAATAAACTTTTGTAAAGTGATGAAAACATAAATCGGCTGGTGAATGCATTCTAGAAAAATGTTCAAATTGGTCAGCTCAATTTAGTTCGATATAGTTGAAAACTTCGTGCAACTAGTAATTCACAGTCAACTCATCACAATTTAGCAACTCTCATAAACGTAAATGGACAAACGAGCACTTCTGGAGATTGCTCTGGCGGGCAACACCGCCGCCCAGAGTGGCAACCTCCTCGAAGCGGTGGCCAACTACTCGCAGGTGATCTCCGCCTGGCCGACCGAGTACAGCTTCCTCCTGAACCGAGCCATCTGCCACCTGAAGATGGACTACCACTTCCTCGCCCTCTTTGACATCAACCAGGCCCTCAGTCTGGCGGCGGAGGAACGCGCCCAGGCCAAGTGTCTCTTCATTCGCAGTCGCATCCTGCGGAAGCTGGGCCAGCACGAGCACTCCTCCAGCGACCTCTTCGCCGCCTCCANGAAGATGGACTACCACTTCCTCGCCCTCTTTGACATCAACCAGGCCCTCAGTCTGGCGGCAGAGGAGCGCGTCCAGGCAAAGTGTCTCTTCATTCGTAGTCGCATCCTGCAGAAGCTGGGCCAGCACGAGCACTCCTCCAGCGACCTCTTCGCCGCCTCCACCATTGACCCGTACAATGAGGAGATCGCCGAAGAGCTGCTGCTGCTGCAGCAGGCAAGTGCAGCCGAGGGCGGCGGCGTCGGCAGCAGCAACCAGGAGAAGGAGCTGTTCAAGGAGAAACTGCGCGGCTATGACCTCACCGCCAAGTGCTACTACAAGGTCAAGGTGAACTTTCACCTGGTGCAGGCGGCCAACCTGCCCACCAACCTGTGGAACTACGAGGGCGTCCGCGTGGAGGGCATTCGGCCGTCGGCGGGGGCGGAGGTGATTCGCAGTCACTTCAGCCTCTTCGGCGACGTCCACCAGGTGCGGCGGCTGAGCAGCCGGGCGGTGAAGGGCAGTCAAGTGTTCGTGCACTTTGACAACCCGGTGTCGGCCAGCTTCACCATCGCCTACTTTCAGCAGCGCATCGACGAGGAGCTGTCGGCGAAGGAGCGCGGCCTCCTCCAGCCACTGAAGCTCACCTTCGCGCCCACCGACACGCAGACCGACCTGAAGTTCGCCCGACCGAAGTACCCGGGACAGAACCGCGGCCAAGAGTGCTACTACTGGCGCACTACGCTCTGCAATATGGGCACTCGCTGCGCCAAGCTGCACCTTCCCGCCAGCAAGGGCATTGACAGGCAGATCTGGATGAAGCACAAGGAGTGAAGCACAGGGGGATTTATACATGGCTTTTTGTTTGTATGGCAGATTCATAGGAGAGTTTTGCTGTGTTAGTGTGTGCATTCACCTTTTTACAGTAACAGTGGTGATGTTTGTAATTGAAAAAGAAGATTAAAAAATAATACAAATTTTTTGCTTACAGACATTGGTTCGTTTGGAGGGGAGAGGAAGGTAAAACATGGAAAGAATGTTGTTGAGATGCACTTCAAAAATGGGGTCGCTTATTTATCCTTGCTCACTGGCTCAGCGGCAGAGGCCTCCGAAGAAGCCTGGTCCTCCTTCTTTGGCTCAAGGTTCATCCCCTCTTCGAGAGCCTTGTTCAGTTCGTCAATCTCTTTTTCCTTCTTTTTCATCACTTGGACGGCTTCATCGAAACCTTTCTTAAAGATGGCCGCGTCTAAAAAGATGTTAAATTACGGTTAAAAGCATAACCAAAAACTACTCAACGTACTCTCTGGGTTTGAGAAGCGAATGGCAAATGTCTCTGGATTAGTTTCAAGATCGTAGAGATCAGCGAGAGTTGAATAGACAAACACTTTATCGCTGTTGTTGTGCTTATTTAGCTCCATGGTCGATGTAACTGCAAAAGACATTAGGACATTAAAAATGTATAAATTGACAACAACCAAGTTCTCAATGAACTCACTGTAGTGGTTGGCGCAGATTTTGTGAGTTTTGTCGCGACGGAGAAGAATGCGATACATGTTCGTTTCCTTGTGTCGGAGAATCTTGACTACTCCAGTGCCACGCTCTTTGAACTCCGGCTCATCTTCAGAGTCGTCAAAACGGTAAATGCGAGAACGCCTGTAAACAAAATATGAACAGTGAGTTTGACACTCTTTTTGAAGTGCTTATTGCAAAAAATTACAGTTCGACGACCACATCCTCATTATCTTCCATTGTCTTGACGTCCACCAAAGGAAGGCTCACTTTGGGCGGAAAGTACAGCTCGGGTTCTGCTTCAGGCGAATCCTCGTCACCATTATCTTCCGTTTGCTTTTCTGCCTTTCCATTTTTTGGAGTGGTTTCCTTTCCATGACCATTTGTTTCAGCTGTTGGTTTATCGCTGTCTTCAACTTTCTCAACCTTCGAACTGACGCACCCGTCGACTTTGTCAGTCTGAAAGAAAAGAATGCTTTAGATATCTATTTGTTGAGGCACGTTGTTTACGATTCCACAAGTGTCGCAAGTGAAGACGACGGTGAAGCACTTACCACGGTCGCCGAGTCGGCTGCTACTTCGGCCATGATCGTCTCGTCGGTCGTCAGTGGGAGGAGAACGTTGTCACTCGTTGAGAAGGCGGAGAAGAGCCAAAGAAGACCAGAGACCGAAGTGGACAGAGAAGTGGCGCACTTTCAACTGAAAACAATCGCAATCGTCATGAGCCGCTTTGCTTTTGCCAACTGCTTGAAGCAAAGTCTGAACAGATGTCGCTGCGGGCTGCGACATGTGCTGAAAAAACATTTGTTGTGGTTCATTTTTTTCTCGTCATAATCATCAAAGAATCTTAAATCTCAATCACATTTTGTAATCATGTCTACACGATGGTAATTGTACTTTAAAGGGTAATATTTGGCTGACCATTTTACTACCCACTAGGTACCCACGCTATGTCCGCGGCAATCCACAGCTTCGAGTCTTTTTGCCGGACTTTTGGATGATTCTGAAAAAGCCCGACACACCGCTACCTGCGAATAAGGTCCTTTTTAAGGTCCCTCTTCAGTAAGTATCTTGGGTTTTGTTTTCACACCTTATCAACTGTTAATTTTTTGTAGAATGACCAAATATGATGTGCGAAATTACCTCGAAAAGATTTACAAAATTCCGGTAGTCAACATTGAAACGCGTGTGGTGATGGGCAAATTGAAGAGAGCCGTTGGAAAGGGCTACATGATCAAGGAAGATGACTGGAGAGAGGCGATAGTGGATCTGGTAAGAGATGATGGCATTTGTTCACTAATCTCATACTCTAATCATCATTTTTCGACTTAGCCAAAAGAAGTGAGCTTTGAATACCCGAAATTATTTCAAGACACCACCGAAAAGTTGGAGGATGAAATTGAGGACGTCACCAAGCGAATGGACTTTGTGAAGCTGAGAGAGCGTCGCCGTCTCCACCATGAAAATCGGCACAACGTTCCCAGCTGGTTTGGCTTGTAGATTATTTAATTCGTATGATTTATTTTTGTGCGTCAATTAGTGAACATGAACCGGCGCCGAATCACCTTGTGTAGATAATAAAACAAATATGCATTAACAAACATGGAATGAGTATGTGTGTGTGTTTTTGATTAGTAGAGACTAGTCTTCTTCATGATACGCAGGAACTCCTGACAGTTGACTGCATGGTCGCCATCGACGTCAGCCTCTTCGATCATCTCCAGCAGCTCGTCGTCGGATATCTTCTCGCCGAGCTCAGTGGACACTCGTTTGAGGTCATCAAAGGTGATCTTTCCGCGGTGGCTGTCGTCAAAGAGCTGGAACGCCTTCATAATCTCCTCATTAACCGTCTTCTCCGTCATTCGCTTAGTCATCAGGCTGATAAAGTCCGCCGATGAGATGTAGCCGTCCTTGTCGTATTCCTCGCTGATGCGCTTGATCTCCTCCTTCTTCGGCTCAAAGCCGAGTGATCGCATGGCAAACTTCAGCTGCTTCGTCTCCAGCTTGCCGGCCTTTTCCACGTCAAAACGCTCAAAGGTCGCCTTGATGTCATCGAGAAACTCGGCGTTCACGGAAGACATTGTCGCCGAAGAAGAGGAGGAGTGTCGTCCTTTGGAGTTTCGAGCCACCGACGGCTTCTTTGGCATTGTCTTCTTCGCTCGTGCACCGCTCGTGCTCGCCTCCGAGCCGGAGTCATTGGACGGCGTCCAGACGTCATCGTCGTCGTCGTCGAAATTCATTCTCGAGTAGGGGTCTTTCTTAGGAAAAAGCTGACAAGCGTCGATTTGGCACGGGAGCAGAAGTAGAAGAAGGCTCACTTGCTGGCCAACACGGCACACAATGCAGTTCTATATACGCGCTATTCAAACCAAGGGTGAGAATCGAGTCCACTTTTCCGCTGTAGCTACACAGCCAACGCTAGAGGGCGCGTAACGTTGGCTATGTAGCTACAGCGGAAAAGTGGACTCGATTCCCACCCCTGATTCAAACACCGAATCTGTGTCAGTCAGTGAAAGTGTCTGTCCGTCCGTCCGTCTGTGTTGCCTTATTCTCTCGGAAACTGGCATGCCACCTGGCGCCACTGAAAAATTGGCGCCAGTGGAGCACTACTAGAGTTCACCAGTTGACCTTTATTGATCTGTCTTTTAACTGATTGCAAATGGTGGTAATAGGTAGGTACAGTCTTACAGTTTTGTTGTTGGTCGAATGCGGCTCACTTGTGATCACCTTTGTGGTGGTTGTGGTTGTTGTTGTTCACATCTGATTTGGTATTGTCTCCGGCGGCCGAAGCGGTCCCCTCATCCGTGTCCTCGTCATCCTCCTCGCCTTCCTCGTCATCCACCGTCACCGCGTCCGCCTCTGCCTCTCGTTTGGCTGCCTCAGTCATGTCGGCAATGCGGTTTCGCAGTGCAGTGATCTCCTCCTCAAGCATGTTTGAGTAGAAGTACGCCTTGGCCAGGTCCCGCTGGAGGATCTTGCGCTTCTTCTTCAGCTTCTCAATCTGCCGCTCGAAGGGCGTCTTGATGGCGTGAATGATGGCGTGAATGATGCGCAGCACTCGCCACAGTCGGAGGATGATCAGCAGGTAGAGGTACTTCTTCATGCCGCTGTCGAGGAAGGCAACGTCGAGCCAAAAGGAGACGATGACCACAATGGCGTCCAAGGCGTTCTCCAGGTGCAGGAAGTACTTGTAGCCGAAGATGTACAGTCGCAGGCCCAGCTCCACGTTGAAGGTGAATAGAATGAAAATGGACGTCAGGTGGAAGTACATCTCTATCTTGTGCAGCAGGTGAACGTGGTCGCAGGGCTCAAAAAGTGACGGACTCTCGACGACCACCTGGGCCGACTCTGCCACGTACATGTCCTCGGTAACCGGATCGGGCCGCTCAGTGGTCAGTGTGCTCATCATCGTCGTGAAGGCGTCAGTTATCGATTTAGTGGCATGACTAACCACTTGCTGGTGGTGATCGCCCCCTCCCCCATGGCAGTTTCCCATCTGCATCTCAATGACCATCTCGCCCAGAACCTGAACATTTAAAAAGAATGGGTTAATAATAATTTTCTTAACAGTCCCCACCAATTACCATAATACAGTCGAGAATGACCAGCACGACCATGACCAGCTGGAAGTTGTAGGAGGAGACGACATTCTTCAGCCGACTCTTGAAGGTGGGGTCCTCGTCATTGAGGCCGCCAATGAGCTTGTGGGCACTGGCAATGTGGCGGTTGGTGTACATGCCCTGCCGCTGCTGGTGCATGTTGATGTACACCGAGTTCTGGCTCTTGCGAAGATTTGCATTGAGGTGGTTCAGCTGCCAGTTGCTAGCGTTGATCTGCCCCGAGGAGAGGTACTGACTGCGGGACCGCTTCAGACGGTGAGACGGCGCCCGGCGGACGGAGCCGGGCCCGAAGCGAACGGACTGGCGATTGCGATTCTGATTCATTTTGCTAGTCAATGTGACATTGACCTAGGCGGTTGTGCAGGCAGGACGAAGTCCTCGAGTGAAAGGGAGCAACTGCTCCTCCACTGATTGCCTTTTATATCGATCACCCATTCTTTTTCGGTAATGAGTACCTGAAAATGCTGCCGCACTCTTCGAATCACCGACATCTTCACTGCGCCTAGTCTCTCCGAAGGTCNGATGTGGCGGTTGGTGTACATGCCCTGTCGCTGCTGGTGCATGTTGATGTACACCGAGTTCTGGCTCTTGCGAAGATTTGCATTGAGGTGGTTCAGCTGCCAGTTGCTGGCGTTGATCTGCCCCGAGGAGAGGTACTGACTGCGGGACCGTTTCAGACGGTGAGACGGCGCCCGGCGGACGGAGCCGGGCCCGAAGCGAACGGACTGGCGATTGCGATTCTGATTCATTTTGCTAGTCAATGTGACATTGACCTAGGCGGTTGTGCAGGCAGGACGAAGTCCTCGAGTGAAAGGGAGCAACTGCTCCTCCACTGATTGCCTTTTATATCGATCACCCATTCTTTTTCGGTAATGAGTACCTGAAAATGCTGCCGCACTCTTCGAATCACCGACATCTTCACTGCGCCTAGTCTCTCCGAAGGTCCCTCCGGTGCACTGTCACTGCCAATGTGACATCGCCATCGGCATTAATGAAGCATCGGTATTATTAGCAACGAGTCAGCTAATCTGGTGATCGAATTGATTGATTGGCTAAAAGAACAAAGATTCAGACATTGACAATTTTATAGCAGACAGAAAAAGATGGAAAAGGGTACGTCAGAAATTGGCATCGCATTCGTGCAAATTATATATCGGTAGTGGAAAGTTTTACAGGGAAGTTACCGGAACATTTTCATGAGGCAAACAAATGAAACAGCTGCTGCGATACTTTTTTAAATATTCATCAGAATGTTTTTCTGGTTTGGAACTACTTGAATGTGGCCTTTGAATAGGTTGAATGCTGATAACATTACTCCATGTTCAGCCCTAGTCATCGGCCATTTATTCGGCAGTGCCCTTGCCGTACACTGAATGGCCTCCTCCTGAACCACAACACCTTTGGCTTAACTGGTAATGTGCCTGAAACTCATTCAAAACATCACATTCTCTGACCTTTAAACTTTTGCCAGTTTTACGCTACCTAGCACAACAACCTAAGGAGACATGTAATTACGAAACTCTTGGCATCACTCCCAAAGCAGATTCCAAGCAGATAAAACTAGCATACTATGAAAAGTCAAAAGAATATCATCCTGACGTGAATCAGTCTCCTGATGCGGCGGTCAAGTTCCAGGAAGTCAATGCCGCCTACGAAGTGCTCTCCAATGAACAGCTCAAAGACGAGTATGACTACAACAAGGGCTACAAAGGCAACCGAACGGGATTCAACGGCGAAAAGTGAGTCAAATGCCTGGTATCATCAAGTGCCATCATGTAACATTGTCTTTGTCCTTCTCAATTTAGTAGTGAAAACGGCTCGGGAAGTACGACCTACAGCTATAACCGCCAAGTTTACCGACAAGTTAGGAGGCACAGTTCTCATCAATTTTACGAACCTAAACTAGCAAACAGATGGAGAAAGGTGAAGCACGATACGGAGTTCTACGAACACCTTTCCCCGGAAATGAAAGCCTCCTACAAAACGTACATTGATCGTGTGAAGCGAGAACAGGAAGACCTGAGAGAATCATTTGAGCAGGCGAAGCAAATGAGAAGTGGCTTTTCACTGATGGGCATGTACTCCTTCATCGTCTCTGTAACCGTCGTTATGATCATTTTGGAAAGTCAACTGTGATTTGAAGTGGGCAAAAAACGGTGCAATTTTAATATAAAAAACAAATGTACATAGTGAAAAAAATTAAATAGGTGTTATATTGAATTTACAGAGACGGTTATAGAAAAAAAGTGGGAGATTCAGTGCGAAAATTCGTAATCATGTAGTAGTCTATAGTGGTGAACGGCTTGATTGATGAAACATCATTAGCGCGCAGCTTCATCCTACGACAGCTCAAAGCCGGGGTTGGAGTTGATGGCGTATCGCAGCTTCTCCTTCAGTGTACTCTTCCGCTGGTAGTTGGGCAACTTGAGGAGGTTGAAGCAGGTGGAGGAGGTGGGCAGCCGGTTGACGGGGTCCTTGCGGCGAATGGTGAAGAAGCCACGCAGCACCGAACCGACGGTGTCTCCCGTGTCCTGGTCATCGCTCACCTCCACGCAGCGAATGGAAAAGGGCGGCTCGAGGTGGGCAAAGCCGAGGAGGGGCGGCTTAGAGCACGAGGTGACGAACTTCAGAAAGAGGCGATGCTCCTCCACGGAGAAGTCACTCTGGAGAATGTCCCACAGCCAGCAGATGACGCGGTGGTTGGCGTGGAAGCCGCCAAAGTACTTGGTGTGCCGGCGCAGGTCCTCCAGGTCAATGGGCGAGTTGTCGCCGGAGATGAGCCGCTGAAACTCCGGCGTGCTGAACATGGTCAGCCACTCGGGGTTGATGATGGAGCGGAAGCCGCGAATGAAGGCCGCCGTCTGCTCGTGAATCTGCGTGTGCATGCGAAAGTGCGCCATCAGGTGAATGTAGCTGATGCGCGTCTCCTTCGTCACCGGGATGGCCTTTCCGCCGTGCAGCAGCTCGTGCGTCACAATCTGCCCCATGGCGTCCTCGTCCACGGAGAAGGTGAGATCGAGCGAGGAGATGTCGCCCTCGTCGTAGTGCTTCAGAAAGGTCAGGTGCTTGTACAGCTCCGGGTCGAGGGAGGGCAGCTCGTCAATGGAAGAGTACAGTGCACTCTGCTGCTGACCGAGCACCTGACTGAGAAAGAAGGAGGCAAAGGGAACGTCCACGACGATGCCCTCATAGACGGCCTTGCCTGAAACAAAAAATGTAGTGTGAATCATTGAGGACTGAATAAAAAGCAAAAAAATATTTCTCACGTACCAATCATCTTGCCGACAAACTCAAACAACGACAGGTGATTCTCGTGAATGTACGACGTGGGCGAAGGATACAGGCGCTGTTCACTGGTCACTCGAAACAAATTCAAGGACGGGTCAAAAATGCGCTTGATGGTGTCCTCGAGAAACTCCTTGAAGACGCCATCCTGGTCAATGCCCGCCTCATCGAGGCCCTGTTCGTTGATGAACTTCACGCGTATGACGCCCTTCAAGGACTGACTAGGTAGTGAGTTAAGCTGCTGGTAGCCATCCTCAACGATGCGCGCCCGGTGCACGGTGACCAGGGTCGAGTTGATGATGCAGCTTTCATTGGTGGTGAGCATGTGTCGATCAAGGGTAATGTACTTGCGGAAGAGGCCGATGCGCTCTTTATGGTGAATAATGTGGGGCACTTTTTGCAGAATCGCCTGCGCCGTCCGCTTGCCGTGCTCAAGGTCCTTCATGAAGGAGGACATCTTCAATTCCCTGTGTGATAAGGTGCTCAAAATTAGCAACTCCACAACTCCAAAACCTAATTTAAAAAGGTGTTCACCTTATAAGCCAGTGATAGGGCGGTGTAAAGGGCCGACGAGAGTCGCGTTTGTAGAGCAGCATTAGGAGAGAATGCGTCGAATTTAGTAATGCATTGGTAGACATGTTTTGAATATCTGCGAATGAGAACCAGGAATGTAAATCAGGCAATATCAAACACCGAAGTGAGCCTTACCAATTAGATTATGCCAGATCAACTTGAAAACAAAGTTGTTGAGAAACTGCGATATCATCACCAGGTCCTCGAGGGAAAAGGGCTTCTGGTTCTCGTACAGTTCAATGTCGTCGAGAATGGTAATCAGGTGCGTGGCACACTCGCAGAAGATGATGAGAATCTGAAACTCGGGGGCGCAGCTCTTGGAGTGCATGCTCAGGTAGTCGAGGTAGGCGCGCGCCGGATTGTGCGGCCCGATGAGGGTGATGAAGCGCCAGAGATGCGGAAGGATTAGCTCCTTGAAGCACAGGCCGGAGAGAATGTCGTGCTTCATCTGGCTCAGCGTGGTGAAGGCGTTCTCGTAGAGCGAACACACCAGCGCAATCAGCGACGTCTCCGGGGTGCCCAGCTTGTAGATGGGATTCCAGCAGTGACCGGAGAGGCCGCTGGTCGACCCGGAGCGACCGCCGAGAGAGGCGGCTCGCTCAAAGGCCTTCCCGATGAAGGTCTGTCGCCAGGAGGTGAATGACTGTCCCTGAACACTGGTGGCCGCTGTTTGATTGTCGCCGCTAGTGCTTGTTTCAGAGCTGCCCAGTGCCGCCTGCACCACAGCTGAGCCGGTGGTCACGGGGATCGTTGAGGACTTTCGACTAGAGGCGGCGGCGCCGGCTTCAATGGCAGCGGCAGAAGTCATCTCAAAGAGCGGCGCAAAGATGAGTTCAATCATCTGCGGATTCCACAAATACTGTAGCTGCTGCTTCACGTGAGACATTGATTCGTGAAGTCTGAAAAAAATGGGAAAAAAATTGTGTCAACAGTGGTAATCACTTGAATAAACAAATGAGCAGTACTTTTGGTCGACATTCTGCGAGAACCAGCCCAGAACTGGATGCCAGTGCGAGATGCTCGACTGCTTGCTGAGCACGTACTTCTGACAGCTGTCGAGCATCTTCTTCAGAACACACTGAACGACAACGAAAAAGATTGTTAGGTTTGATTGAAAACTTTCTCTCAACGGCAAACAACTTACAACAAAATCAATCACATGTGGTCGTATAAACTTGAGAGAGGTAAAAGCTAGATGGACGAGGTTGGCCATCAAGCACAGCGTGTAGTTGCCTTCCAGAGTGGCAAAGACAACTCTCGAGTGATCATCGGCCGCGAGCAGTTCAATGATTCGCTTCAGTATTGGTTCACGGTAAAAGATCTGCACCGCTTCAGGGGAAATGTGGTTGAGGTGCCAGATGAGGGCAGGCACTGAGAAGATGTGCAGAACAAAGGACTGCACATGTTGGTCCGCATAGCTGGAACACTGCATTGGTCGAGTAGAGACGGTGATGATAGCAGTAATTGAAGTCTTCTTCAGCGACGGCTTAGTTCGTGTCAGTCCTCGAAGTAGCAGATCATTCATGCAGTGGTAAAGTCCACTGTGAACCAGCTGATTGGTCACCTTATGACAGATCTGCTCCAGAGAGTGGCGGTACCGTTCGTACTCGGCCGTTTTCAGTACCTTCCAGCTGGACGTCGAGGTGAAGCAGACAAGCACATTGAGAAAGGTGGCAACTGAACCGTGGTGATTTGCCAGTTCAGGCTTCAGGTGACGAAGGAAGGTGCAGGCAATGGTGGTGATATGCGTTATCTGCCGTGTCCAAATGGCCGTCATCTCCGGCTTGAGAACGATGATGCCAATGTAGGAAGTGTTTGGGTCTTCGGAAAAGAGCGACATGACGATGTGCTTGCACAGTGACTCCAGCTGCTGCCAAATGGTGACAGTGGCATTCTTTCCGTCATTCTGTGTACTGTCAAAGAGGGAGAAGGCACTTCCGGAAGGTATTCGACAGCTGTTGTCCACGTAGCCATCATGTCCTACTTTGACTAGTCGTCTCGACAGCAGTTCGCGTCGGACAATGAAGACCAAGCGCTGGGCAATGTCAAAGAGTCGAAAGCAGTCGATACTAGTCTTCTTTACAGCTGAATCCGAGTTGCTGCCAAAGAGTTGGTCAAACTCAGACTGCACTTGGTTGTTGAAAGAACGTCGGGCGAGGAAGGCTCGAATGAAAGCCTGCAAAGTAATCAAATTTAGAAATTAGAAATGCTAAAGTTCAACAACAAATCCAATTCACCTGAATAGATGTGGCGGCGGTGTTCAGTCGCCGCTCTCGATCTCGCTCTTCCCTGGCCGCCAGCAGCTGGCCGAGGAACTTGCTGCGGTCATTCGGCTGAGACTGCTGGTCGAACATGGTCTCGGAAGTTGCGGAGTTGTGGGACCGGGACTGGGATCGCCGACCAGCCGAACTCACAGTCCACTCGCAGACTCGGGAGATCAGAAGAAAGCGACGACCACGAATGCTCGGGAAACGCAGTGATGCGACGCAGCAGAATCTCACAGCCCAGTTCACTGTTTTGTGTGTGTGTTTACACTCGCAAGCGAGAAGTCGGAGACGACTCGAACTGAGAGAGCGAGAGAGAAAGAAAGTCTTCCCGGCAACCATTCTCCTCGCTCTCTCTCTCTCTCATGCGGCATTTCAGTCTTCTTTCCCTGCAGTTTCATCATATCAATCTCGCTGTCAGCTCTGGCGTGTGAACTTGTGCTTGTTTGTTTGTTTTGAAAAAAATCGCCGCTGTCAGAAGATGGATTTCACCGATCCGGACATTGAAGAATACTCACAGAGTACTGAAGGGAACAGCAATGACATGTTTGCTGAGGGTGGCATGGATGCCGAGGCAGCAAACTTGCTAAACACCGGAGATGATGCTGCTGATGCTGATGAAGAAGACGGCAAAGAAGATGATAGCAGTGATGATAGCAGTGAAGACGATGATGATGATGATGATCAGGAGGAAGCGGCACTGGTTGCCGACATCAATCGTCTTCAAGAAGAGGTATGTTTTGTTTTGTGGTTGCCGTTTTTTCTAATTGTTGCCACTTTGCCCCATAATAGTTATCCTACAATTCACTCGACTACGATAAGCACATCGAGTTGATAGAGAAACTGAAGGCTCTCGCCAACCTGGAGCTGCTTCGTGATGCACGTGAAAAGTTCAACAAACTGTATCCACTATCGCCAAAACTGTGGACTGATTGGATCAACGATGAGATCTCAGTTGCAAGTACCGTCGAAGAGAAAAAAGCAGTTAAGGCGCTTTACGAGCGTGCTTTGCTCGAGTACTACGACCAAACAATCTGGCTAAACTACATACAATTCTGTGTAGAGCTACATGAAGAAAGTATTATCTCACAGGAAGAACTTAAAGACATTTTGGATCGAGCAATTAGTCACAACGGCTGCAACGTCGCCGCTGGGTCAACTTTCTGGCGAGCCTACCGAATGTTCGTAGTTCACGGTTTGCCAGATGATGCAACTGAAGAGCAGCTGAAAGAGCACGTCAAAACCACTCTTGATTTGTTTCATCGACAGTTCTCTCTTCCATTGATAGGAATGGATGAGGACTTTAAGCAATTCGAAGAGTGGCTCGTCCAGACTAGCACCAACCACCAAATTGATTTCGCAGAGCAGCACTACGCGAGAGAAATTGCAGCCATAAAGGCAGATTACGAGAAATCACTCAAAGCACTCGTTCCTCTGGTCGACTTTGAAATGGCCCTTAAAAAAGGCTCGCCTAAACCAGAGCTGGCTGATTACCTCAAGTATCTCGATGTGGAGATAAAAAATGGAAACCTCGCACGAACAAAATGTCTATTTGAGCGAGCCATCACAGACCACTGTCTGGAGAGCGACCTATGGCTGAAGTACCTCAAGTTTGCTGATCTAAAGTTAGTCGTTGACAAGTTGCTGCTGCCACTGTACGAACTTGCAGTCCGTAACTGCTCCTGGGTCGGCGACATTTGGGTGCAGTACTTGCTGGCTGTGGAGGCTCTCTACGCCGAAAATGAGAGCGTCAACGTCGACGAGAAGATGGTCTCCATTCGCGATCAGGCTCTATCGAGCACCAGCTCCTCAGTGGAGGACTACAAAAAGATTTGGTTTACCTATATCAACTTTTTGCGACGACAGACGTGCCGGCAAAACGCCTGGAGTGACACAGTTGCCGTGGCAAAGATTCGCGACACCCTGGCTACTGTCATTGAGAATCTTGAGGCAACTCAGAGCGGGGCTTACTTTTGCTACGACTTGCACCGGTTCGCCGCCAATATGGAGGCAAAGTTCTGCAAAGACATCGGCAAGGCGAGGGAAATCTACAATAGACTTGTGAGTAAATCGTCGGATTTTAAGAAAACGGTACGTAATTTTGCAACCAAAAATGTTGTCAAAAGATTCACATTTTCCCTTTGTTTTTAGGCCACCTTCTGGCTTGACTACGCCAACCTCGAACTTTTGTACGGCGACGAAGAGCACTACCGGAAGACGCTGTACAAGGGTCTGAACATGTGCAATGACTATCCGGAATCAATTGGCAGTGTTCTTATTCAATTTGAAACGGAAAATGGAACCTCAGTGGAGCAGTATCGCATTGCGACAGCAAAGAACGACATTGCTGTGAAAAAGGCCAACGAACGACGTGCCAAAGAGACGGCCAAAAACGCTGTCCCAGAGAAAGTACCTTTCGCAGCTCCGGCAGCTGTTGATGTTTCGAAAAAGGGTGGAGCTCAAAAAAGAAAAGCCAACGAAAATGCCGGTCGTAATAACGATGTGCGCAATGACCAAAAGAAGCCAAAAATCGCAAAATCTGAGGAGCCAACAGTTCATGGAACTAGTGTTCAAACTGATGAATCTAAGCGAGAGCAGACTGCTTTTCTCAGCAATTTGGCCTTTGATCTCGAGGAAGATGAAATTCGAGATGCCTTTTCTCAGTTTGGGAAAATCAATGATGTGCGTTTGGTGCGTAATTTCAAAGGACTTCCAAAGGGCTTTGCCTACGTGGAGTTTGAAAACTTTTTATCAGTGAAGAATGCGCTGAAACACGATCGAATGATGCTCAAAGGACGCCCCGTTTTTATAAATGAAATGGACAAGCGAAAGAAGTTTGATTACAGCACTGACCAGGAGAAGAACAAAATATTTGTGAAGAACATTCCACTTGAGTTTACCCAGGAGGACCTGCTGGCGAAGGTTTTTGCCGACGTTGCGGACGAAGTTGTCAGTATTCGCTTGCCGACATTTAGAAATGGCCACTCAAAGGGCATTGCCTACGTGGAGATGAAGAGTGCAGAGGTGGCTTCAAAGGTGGTCAACGAAAAGAATGACATGGAGGTCGGTGATCGAAAGCTTTTTGTGGCCATCAGTAACCCTAGTCGGGCAAATGCTAACCCCCGGCCCCAGCAGTCGTTCAGCAGCAGCAATGCTCGTGCAGGAAAGGATCGACCACCACCACCACCATCAAAGTTCAAACCAGGCTCCTCTTCAATGATGATTCCGCACTCGTTGATGGTGAGATCGTCAAAGGTCAAAATTCAACTGAATGGTGGAGCCAACTCGCTGTCCAAGTAACGCAAAGATTATTTACCGTTGTGAAATCACGTCAAGTGGATTTATTTTTTGTAATTACAAATTGCCAATTATTTTACCTAATTGGAACAGCTCTTTACACACTGTCAGTGAGCCTTGTGGATGCCTTCCTTTTCTTCGCAAAGTATTTTGGTGGTGGCAAGATGTAGCGCTTGCAATGGTCATCTCACTGCTGATAGGCGTCATTATGCGGCGCCCGCAAATTAGCCCTGTCCGCACAAAAGGTAGGTGTCTTCATTCATGTCTCTGTGTTTTCGTCATGTTTTTCAGCCTCACCATTCATGGCTTCCCCTATTGTACCGCC